AAAACAGCAGAAGAATACTAAATGTGTATAGGGGTTGGACGAGGTGCTTATGCCTATAATCCTAGCTACTGAGGAAGGAAGGGGAGAGATTGGGAAGAATTGCAGTTCAAGGTTAGTCAAAAAGTTCTTGAGACCCCATCTCAATCAATAAAAAGTTGGGCATTGTGGTACATACCTGCCATCCCAACTATGTAGGAAGCATAAATGGGAGACTGCAGTCCAGGCTGGCCAGGGCAAAAATGTGAGACCCTATATGAAAAATAACTAAAGCATAAGAGGGCTAGAGTGTGGCTCAAGTGATAGATGCCTGACTAGCAAGCTTGAGGACCTGAATACCATTTAAAAAAAAAAAGGGCATAAGGGATAAGACAAAAATAATAAAAAATTTTGGGTCTGGATATTATGAACACTGTGTTTTTTTAAAAAATAAGTCTCTTAACTCATCTAACTTCCACAAGCATTGGTATACCAACCACAATCTTATTTTTTAAGAGAACAAATGCAAAACAGTGCTTTCAGGTGTGAAATTTAAGTTACTGTGAAAGGAAGGAAAGAAACCAGTATTGTTTGTAGCAGAAAGAGACCCAAGTCATAAGATCTCAGAGAGGCCTGTAAAAGCAGACTCAAAGTTTATCACCACATTCTCAGAGAGAAAGAGCAAGTGGTGCTAGGTTAGTGTTGGCTCTCACACGGTATTTAGGAGACACCGGGTGGAGGAGAAGTGAGAGATGCTCACTCTGTTCACTGGCTTTGCCTCCTGCCCAGATCAGCTCAGAGAATCCATGCCCTGCAGGTGTCATTGCTACTTGAGTAATTCGTGACTACTTTTACAGGAGATGTGGCCTGCAGAAAGTGCCCTGGGTCAGTGCTGGTAGGGACTAGCAATGACTGCCATGAAAAGGACAGGTGTTACACAATGGGAAGTCACACACTGCCTTATTCTCCAGAGCAGCTGGTGGTTAACTGCATGCCTTTGATTCTTGATTTAGGGGTGAAGGAAATGGTGACCACTAGGAGTGGAATCAGATCATGACTGCCAGATTTTGTCAGTCCTGTTCAACTACAGAAAAGGGGAAGGAAGGAATTTTCAGCCCTGACTATACTGACCTGACCACGGAGTGCCTGTGCCAAGTTTATGACATTAAAGATGAGTTATACTATTTTCTTGGTCTTCCTGATCACGTGAGTAATAGGATCAAGTGATATATTTCTAGGACACATTAAGTGAACTCATCACTTCAAGCCAAAATATTGTGCTTTTCTTTTTTTTTTTTACAATAAGAATAATGCATTATCTGTGATTAAGTTTGGCTGAACACAATAGAAAAATCTCAAATCATAGTTATTAAAACAAAATACTTTCAATCTTTGTCACTTGAAAGGAATTCACTGCTTTATGAAACACCAACTATCCATATTAATTAGATGATTCAGCACCTCTTCTAGAATGCAGGTGAGGGGTCACATGATGCCTGCAGCAACTCAAGACACCAAGTGCTCTGCAGGCTGACAGCGAGAGCACGGACCCCAAGGAAAGCACACACAGTCCTCAGCACTCCTGTGAGTACTGGAAGCACCAAGTAGACTCTGCTTACAAGGCCACTGCTGGAGGCCAAAGAGACGCAGACCAGGTTCGGTCTTTCCATCTGGAGATGTAGACATTGGAGATTTTATTAAGAAGGGGGAAATGAGTATTGACATTTACTGGCTATTTTTTAAAAAAAATAGGTGGTGCCAACAGATGCCAACCTCTGAAAAGCCAGTTTGTTATTCAAGTTGCTAAGGGAAAGGGGCTTGAAAGTCAAAACCTTGCAAGGCCACACCAGGAAGCACCAGGGTGGAAAGGAGGCAGAGAAAAGTGGGCAGGGATGTGGGCAAGAGCCTTTCTTGTGGTTTCTTTAAAAAAAATATTAATAGTCTAAGTTAATTGTACAAAGGGGTTTCATTGTGATTTTTTTATACATACATATAATGTGCTTTGGTCAAATTCACCCCTTCTAGTACCCTTTCTTAACCTCACTCCTGCCTACCTTTTGAGCAGTTTTAGTGGGCTTCATTATGCTTTTTGCACATCTATATGTAATGGACTTCAGTCATATTCACCCACCCCACCACCTTCTCCTTTCTCCCTTCCCCTCTTTGACTCCTCCCCCACAACATTCCAGATTTTACTTGTCATCTTGTATTATTATTATTTGAGGTCTATATTCTAGGAGCAAGGCAAAAAAGGCAGGGTGGGCAGGTTAGGACTGTCTGTCTTGAATAATTTCACTCCCAGAGTGAGGGCCTGTCTTCACTTGTCTGGTACCTCGCCAGGGAGTGATTTGGACAGGGGCCAGTGGCCTGGAATGCAGGAACGTGGTAGAGGAGGGGGCAGGTGGGCTCGGGATTGGTTGGTTTACATGTGAAGGGTGTGCCCCACCGGGGGTCCTGTCCTGTCTTTAAAAACTGGCAAATCCTGGGGAGACACTGTCCCTCAAGAGTCAGCAACTTGAAATTATATCAGAAATATACAAAAAGAGCCAGGCGCCAGTTGTCATATCTGTAATCCTAGCTACTCAGGAGGCAGCAACTTGAAATTATATCAGAAATATACAAAAAGAGCCAGGCGCCAGTTGTCATATCTGTAATCCTAGCTACTCAGGAGGCAGAGATCAGGAGGATCATGGTTCAAAGCCAGCCCCAAGCAAATAGTTCATGAGACCCTAGACCTATCTGGAAAAAAAAAAAACCATCACAAAAAAGGGCTGGAGGAGTGGCTCAAGTGGTAAGAGTGCCTGCTTTGCAAGCATGAGGCCCTGAGTTCAAACTGCCATGCCACAAAAAAAAAAAAGAAGCAAAAAAGAA